GAACAGAAGTGTCAGATCACTGACCTTCTAGAATGTAGTCTCATATGACTCTTATCAAGTGTGTGAGGCTTTCCAGTTCTATTTGTGAAAAAGGTGAATGAGAAGTGATGAATGTGTATTGATTATCAAGCACTTAACAAGCTTATGATTAAGAATGAATATTCACTGTCACAGATTCAACAACAGTTGAATACAGTTGAAAACATCTGATATCTATCAAAGATCAATCTTCTCTCAGAATACTGGCAGATCTGTGTAGATGAACTGTCAGTCTCATGAACTGTATTTAATATATAATGAGAGAAGTTCAAATTCCTAGCAATGCTATTCAGTCTGACAAATGTGTTCATCATCTTTTAAATAATGATGAATATAATTCTTCATAAACAGAATGAAATCTCATGCCTTGTATATCTTAATGACATTCTAGTCTTTTCAAACTTATACAATGAATATCTGAAGCATCTTGATAAAGTGCTTATAACTCTGACAGAGTATAAGCTCTACATCAAATTAATCAAGTATGTGTTTGAAATGAAAGAGTTGAAGTTTATAGAATATGTAGTGAGTGATGACTGTATACACCTCATCTCAGAGAAATTGAATGTCATAGTGAATTGATCACAGTCAAGAAATGTACATCATATACAACAGTTTCTTGAGTTGGTCTCATACTACTGCAGATTCATTAAGAATTTCACATGAATATCTGCATCACTCTCAGATCTCTTAAGAGAAACAGATGTAAATCTGTGAAAGAAGAAGTTTCATTCAATTATCTGAAATGCTGCATGTGAAGAGGCTTTTCTCACACTGAGAGAATGTATAATAACATTCTCAGTGCTTATTCAATCAGATCATGATAAACCTTTCTACATCAAGACAGACATATCTGAATGAGCTATCAGAGACACTCTTCTACAGATGAGTAAGAACAGCAAGCTGCATCTGATAATATACAATGATAGAAAACTATCAGACACTGAGCTCAATTACTCAGTGCATGAAAAGGAATTGCTAGCAATCAAGCACACACTGATGTTGTGAAATAGATATATCAATAACAGGCATATAACAATAGTGATTATAAATCATGAAAGTCTCATCTATCTACAATCAATGATAAAACCTTTCAAATACTTAGCACATTGAATCTCAGAGTTTCAAGTGTACAATCTTCATATCAAATACTGAAAGAAATTGAACACAGTGATGCCTGACACAATCAGTCACAGACTCAATTTCATAAGTGAGAGTTCTACAAACCAGGCATAAGGAACATTCATGTTAAACATGCTGAGAGAATGCAAGGAATCAGAATGAGTGAACATTATGATCTCTTGCTTAAAGAATGACAAGGTGTTGAATGACAAGTGTCTCGCGAAAGTAGTAGAAAAGATGCTTTCAAACTTCAAGCTGGGGAAATTGAGAAAGAAAAACAACATTGTGCTTTACTATGATCTAGAATATGCAGAAGCTCTCTATCTAGAATCTTCATTTCAATGTGACTTAGTGACTCACATGCACAAGGAATTCAGCCACTTAGAAAGCCCTGAACTCATGAGTGTACTTGAATCAAGAGCATACTGGCCAAGCATGGCTGAGAACATTCAGGTGTACACTCACAAGTGCCTGAATTGCCAGGTCACAAAAGAATCTAAGAAAGAGTTAGAACATGAGAAAGTGCAACACCAGATGAAGTGTATAATATAATCATTTGAATGATGAAGAGTGAACCTCATAGACATATTACTGTGAACATCAAATGGAAATTAATGAATAATCACTGCTATTGATTACACTACTGACTGACCAGTTGTGAAAGCAGTTTCAGAGGCAATAGAGAAGATGATAGTGAAGTTTCTACATAATGAGATCTATGTTAACTATGAAATGCTGTGTGAGATTCTAACTGATAACAGTGTGAACCTCATGAGAGAAGTGATGAGGCATTTTGTGAGCCAGTTACAGACAAGACATTGTAGAACAATGTCATATCATCTGCAGACAAATGAGAAGATGAAACACTTGAATGAAATCTTGAGCAACATGCTGATGAAATATCTAGTGAACAAGCCTACAAGACTATGAGATGAATATCTCAGGCAGGCGCTGTTGACCACACAGATTTGACAGTATGCAGTCTTCAAGTGTTCATCATTCTATCTGTTGTATGAATTGCATCCGCGCATTCCAGAGAATGCTTTGAAAAAGATGAGGGAGAAAACAGCAGTTACAGACACAGCAGTCACAGACACAACAGTCACAGACATAGAATTAAGATTGAAAGAGATCAGTCATGCACATGTAAAAGCTAACAAGTTACTTCTGAACTGAGCAATTCAATTGAAAAGAATATGAGACTCACTTGTTAAGAAATCAAGTCTCAAGATGAGAATGTGAGTTCTCATATATAATAAGAGTTCTGAGAAGTTTCAATCTAGATGGTTTGAGTTATATAAAATACTCAAATCACATTCTCTGAAAACATACACATTGAAAGAATCAGAGAAACAGGTCTTACACAACTTAATCAATGATTCACAACTTATAGAAGTAAAGATATAAGACTTAAGCAGATTATAATTATTCACAGCACTATTATCAGTGTTAAAAAAGAAGAAGCTTACAATTGAAAAGTCTTGCAAAGTAAGAGAAATCATAGACACTTACAAATCAGATGATCTCACTTATTTCAATCTTTTCATGATTATAAGGAAAGAATGAGAAGAAATGAAGAAATCAGATAAATATCACACTTCAATAAGTGATGAGACTGTAGCTGATTGTATGATAACACATCATAGACAGCAGATGCAACACAGTAAAGAGCAGTCTCAAAGCAGCAGACTTATACATGAGTCAGATCACAGAAGGAAAAGAAATTCAGAGTTGAATTTAACTGTTTACATCAGTTCAATCACAGAGATTACAGAGAATGAACTATCTGAAACATCTGTGAACACATGAGACTAAGTTATCTCAATCTCTGAGAACACTTAGAGATTAGATGAGATTAGTTTTGATGAGCTGTTCACTGTAGTGATCTGAGCAGGTGAAGAGAGACAGTATAATATATGAGACAGAATCATAAAAAGTTGAAAGCTGCTGAACCTAGTCACTGAATGCTGTATTATATAGAGGTCATGTAAGAGTAGTGACTAGCAGATAGAGGAAAAGTGTAAGAAAAGAAATGATGAATTGGTCATTAACTGTAAGAGTCAGCTGTAAAAGACAAATGTTATCATACATATCTCATTCATTTTTATATGTCACATGTTTAATCTATTTTCAACACCACTTAAAAAACATCAAAAATAAAGAAAATCTCAAAACTTGAGATCTGCAAGAGATTTGAGAGCTGTAAGCTACTCTTATAACAACACTGTACATGTCTCTGATTTCTCTACTGCTCTGTGTACAACATTAATGTTATTTATCACAAGATTGGCTGAAATGCTAATATAGAAATGTGTACATGTACATGTAGAGAAATTGAAGAAGAGTGTGAAACTCACAGAATCAGAAGTCAGAGCAGAGAGAGTGAAGATGAAAGAAATAGAAGAAGAAGAAGATGCAGAACCAGATAAATAACAGCAGAAGTCACTCAGAACTGAACACTTATAATTCAGTGTGTGCACAACCTTCTCTGCAGAGAAGAAAGAGAAAGTGACAGAAGAAGCTTGAAAATGAAAGAAAGTAGTCTCTGTGATGTTATCATCTTCAATGAGAATGGCCTCTGACACTGAAGTAACTAAGAACCATTGTTAGTATACAAAAATTACAAAAGCAGAGGTAACAATTATCAAATAAATACTCACTGGCCTTAGAATTGTACATGCAATTACAACACACATGAGGCTTCTCAGAAAGAGAGAGAGAGACACAGAGAAATGCAGGAAGCAAAATGCAGCATGCAAACAGCTCATTCTCATGATGATATCTCAGACAAGATGTACAAGCCTCACACCTGTGAGTGTAAAAGAGAATGACATTCATATTCTCATTCTTAAAAACACAGATATTCTTCATCTGCATTACAAAGTCAGATGACAAATGTCAGAGAATAGACTGATACAGATCAATCATGTCAAAGATATTCATTAGAGCAGACATACTCATAATATTGAATTTAACAGTTGTGAAAAGTTTCTTAATGTCTGTGAACATCACAACTTCATGCATAGTAAAACTTATAATAATTTCTTCTAAGAACAGAAAAATCAGTGTTAGAAGAAAAAGATGAAAAATGAAAAGACTTACAATCTAGACACTGTTGAAGAGAGAAGTGATTCTCTGATATAAATGAACAATTGTCTTATCATAAATATTTAAAATGAATGTAATAATCAGTGTCTATGACTGAGCTTTAGATAGTTGTGTTGTATGCTGTCTTCATACAATAAATCATTCTAGAGATTGATAAGAAGGGTGAGAGTGTACACACTGAGAAATGTGATTCACTGAGCCTACACAACATCTCCTTGAAATGAGGAGAGCTGGTAACAAAAGCAGAGGTGACAAAACCAGGAGTGGCAGGAGTGAGGGTCGCGGGAACAGGAGTAGCAGGAGCGGGAGAATCAGACACAGGGACAGGTGTAGAAGATTGAGGGGGAGCGGCAGAGAAAGAAATAGAAGGGGCAGAGAGAAGCACAGAAGACTTGGCCACACATGGTATGAATAATTTCTTCATTATCATGTCCTTCAGGTTCTCAATCAATGATTCAACATTGAGTTCACTATCATCAGTGAATGTGAATCTGTCAACACATGAAGATTCTACACAAATAAAAACAACATATCAGCATCTGTGTTCATACAAAAACATGTCAGAAAACACAATCAGAAACCCACTGAGAAGAGAAACAGTCAAGAATATACAAGAAGATGAAGAGGGTGTACAAGGAGATGAAGAAGATGTGTCATTTATAATAGTACATTCTGACAATTGTTAGAAGATAAACAAGTTCTGGTCACATTTTACAACATATTACACTTACTGCTAATGAACTGCTCAGTATGAGCACTATGAGAATGCTTGTTATGAAAATGAGAGGTCATTGCCAGAAACACATACAATGTGATAGGTGAACAAATAGAAAGAGTTGAACAGAAGAAGAGGTAGGAATCTTGAATAAGATAATGATGTTTAATGATGATGATGATGAAGATGATGATTAAAAAGTGAGAAAAGTTAGTGAATAAGTAATGTAATATAGTGAAAGTTTCTTTGAGAGAGTGTATGCAGAATGCTAGCTGAATCAGAAATAGATCACATGATTGTGAAATGCTAGTGGTGAGCTAATCTGCATGAAGCTAGAGTGTATGACATGGTCACATGAGTGTGACTGAATCTGATGAGAGAGAATGTGATTCAGAAGAATGTATGACTGTCAGATAATAACGCGGCCGCTTCCGAACTACTAGCGTACAAATGTAAAGGGGGCCCTAGCGGCCACTAATTAATTTAGTGTACGAGATTCAATATATAAGAAGCCGGCGTACGCCTGTAATCGTACGCTGGCTTAAGCAACCTTTGAATCACAGAGAAATTGATTAAAACTATTCAATTTTATTCTAAATTATCTAATTCTCCTCACACAACAGGTGTGCAACTCAAATCAGTTAATAAAGAGTGTAAAAAAGAATTAAGTATTAATGAAAGCTCTTCAGCCACTGAAAAAGTAATTCTTACTTAAAAGAATATGAAATTATGACAGAAAACAACTCTGTTTTTAATTCTTTGTAAGAATATTGTGTAAAACCCAGAGAAAAACACCTTACTTTTTTAAGAGAAGTAAAAAACTATTTCTAAAATCTTTTTTTTTTTGCATTAACTGCTGCAGAAGAATGAGATAGAAACTGCTAAGATATACACTACTGTATACTCTCTATCAAGACTTTCTCTCTTCAGAGTCTTGATATTATAGAGAATATAAGTCTGTTTCTATATGATAATATAAATATTGTCAGTGAGATGTAGAGGAACTGGTTATTTATATCTCAAAATAGAAGACTTTGTCAATGATTATATCAATATAGAGTTCATTCTCAAATTCAATAGAAACCTAGTGTTGCTGTTCTCAATCTCTTGCAGAATCTATTGAATATTGAGATATTAAAACTAGATTTAATATATCTCACTGTGCAGGGATCAAAGGCTCAGTCAGATCTTAAGATATACTGATTTTATAGTTGTTGTGTCTGCTGATTATGTATTGAGTACAGTTGCTGAGGTATCTTTTTGTACTTTTCTGTTGGGGATGGGCCAGATTGAGAGGAGTGGTATGAGGGCGAGACTTGGCGTTGATGTCCAGATACACTGAAGACAGACTGTGGAGGTTGCACTTCAGAAGTGGCCGTTGGTTATGTGCTTGATATTATCGCCGAGGTATCTTTTTGTATTTTTCTGCTGGGGATGGGCCAGATTAGGAAGGGCGGTACAACAGTGGGACTTGGTGTTGGTGTTTTGGAACATCAAAGATGGACAGGGTTTTCGCGGAGGTCGCTCCTCAGATATCTCCACAACTACAGATCGGGGATCTTCCAAAATCGAGAAGATTGGTGCATATGGCTAGGTCTCTTCACCTTACAATTTGTATGGCACTTTGGCCCGGGGTTGTGGTGTGGTAGGGGAGAACAGGGGATACTCCCACGCAGGAGTTCCGAACGACGTCTGGTTCACATTTGGCTGGATAACTCCACCACCACACGGGGTATGCAGTCGGCGATGGGGTCAAAATGCTCGTATGATCAAGGGCTTTTCGATGGATCTATCGGCGGGTTCTTATTCGAAAAATCGAGCGAGTTCGTGGTGGAGCGGTTGTTCTATTAATGATAGTGATTGCATTAGTGAAGCTCTTCATAGTGAATGCTTGATTCACAGTGAATATCAATTGTTGCTTAACTTCTGTCTCAGCCTGTCACTGTGAATACAAGGCCTCAATCTTGTTTAGAATTCTTGTACATGTACAGAGCTTCAATTTCAGTTCAGCAGTCTTAGCTGTCTTTCTTACTGTTTTAAATAAATTCTCTGAGAGGTTCTGAATATCTTCTGATTCAGATAGCAGAGAAGAGTATTCATATTAACTATAAGAGATGTTCATTTCAGTGATTTCTCATTGATTGTATAATGTCTATTGTTATATCTAGACTGACCGTGTGACCGTGTCTGAGATCAGAATCAGAATATTTGATAATCTCATTATCAATTCAACTAATCTTATTACACTGTTTTAACATTAGATAGTAGTCTTATACTGTCTCAGTGAGACTTACTGTCTACTCTTATCACATTTTTCAAATGAGACTATGATTTCTACTTCTCAATTTAAATTATTTTTATTGCTTTAAATGACTTTAAATCTCATTTGAGTATTATCAAAAAGTGTTACTTTGTAAAAATTAAAAATAGTCTAAAAAAAACCTTAAAATGTCTAAAAATACTAACTTTATATCAAGAATGAGACTAAATGAGATCAAATGAGATCACTTTCTTATTTTTTCTAAGTTATGATCTCATTTTGAGATCTGATATATAGTTACTTTTCATGTTTTTTTAATGATTAGTCTCAGCAGAATTCATGTCAAGAAATGTATGAGATCAGATCAAATGAAATCAAATGTGAAATTCATGATTCTGATAACTAGTCTAGTTATATCATTATATAATTATATTGTTATATGATTTTATTATTATATAATTTCTGATTTCTGTTTTCTATTATCATTGTACAACTTCAGTGATAGCTAGACTGGCCGCTGAGATTATCAATTTCATGTTTAATCTCATTTAATCTGATCTCATACATTTCTTGATATGAATTCTGCTGAGACTAATCATTAAAAAAACATGCAAAGTGACTATATATCAGATCTCAAAATGAGATTATAACTTGAAAAAAATAAGAAAGTGATCTGATTTGATTTCATTTAGTCTTATTCTTAGCATAAAGTTACTATTTTTAGACATTTTAAGGTTTTTTTTAAACTATTTTTAATTTTTTAAAAAGTAACACTTTTTGATAACACTCAAATAAGATTTAAAGTCATTTAAAGCAATAAAAATAATTTAAATTGAGAAGTGAAAATCATAATCTCATTTGAAAAATGTGATAAGAGTAGACAGTAAGTCTCACTGAGACAGTATGAGACTACTATCTAATATTAAAACAGTGTAATGAAATCAGTTAAATTGATAATGAGATTATCAAATATTCTGGTCCTGGTTTCAGACATGATTACACAGTCAGTCTAGTAATAGTCATCTCTCTTTTATTCTTCTGAGTAGAGAGCAGTCTTCTTTGAATCCGATTCACTGCTCATATTTCCTTTCTCACATCTCATTCATTTGTATACATAGTATTTGCCTGAGTGTGAAGTTTGTCTCTAATAAGCAGAGTAGTATCAATCAGATACTCTTCTACTCACTGCTTCTTCATACACTATCTTTTAAGATGTTTTAGAACCACACTGATATGATAACTATGAATCACTTTGTAGATGAAATTATTACATTCTGAAGAAGTCTGCACTTCTCACCAGTTTTTAGACATGCTATCAGATGTGATTCAAAGATTGCTTGAGTCAGTGTATGATTACAGATGTACATCAGCTTCTTATATATATTATCTAAATTAATTAGTGGCTTCTAGAGCCTCTTTACATTTGTAAGTGTGTTCAGAAGTGGCCGCGTTATTATTCAGCAGTCATACATTCTTTCAAACCACAGAATCAGAATTTTTAATAGTCTCATTATCAATTCAACTGATCTCATTACACGGTTTTAACATTAAATAGTAGTCTTATACTGTCTCAGTGAGACTTACTGTCTACTCTTATCATATTTTCTAAATAAGATCATGATTTTCACTTCTCAATTTAAATTATTTTTATTACTTTAAATGACTTTAAATCTCATTTGAGTATTATCAAAAAGTGTTACTTTTTAAAAAATTAAAAATAGTCTGAAAAAAACCTTAAAATGTCTAAAAACAGTAACTTTATGTCAAGAATAGAATTAAATGAGATCAAATGAGACTACTTTCTCATTTTTTTCAAGTCATGATTTCATTTTAAGATTTGATATATAGTCAGTTTGCATGTTTTTTTAATGACTAGTTCTAGCAGAATTGACATCAAGAAATGTATGAGACTACATTAAATGAGATTAAATGTGAAATTCATGTTCTCATAGACTGGCCGCTGAGAACATGAATTTCACATTTGATGGGGGTTTGATCTGATTTCATACATTTCTTGGTGTGAATCCCGCTGGGACTGGCTATCAAAAAAACATGTAAAGTGACTATATATCAGATCTTAAAATGAAACCATGACTTGAAAAAAATGAGAAAGTGATCTCATTTAATTCCATTTAGTTCCATTCTTGACATAAAGTTACTATTTTAGACATTTTAAGGTTTTTTTTAGACTATTTTTAATTTTTTAAAAAGTAACACTTTTTGATAACACTCAAATGAGATTTAAAGTCATTTAAAGCAATAAAAATAATTTAAATTGAGAAGTGAAAATCATGATTTCATTTGAAAAATGTGACAAGAGTAGACAGTAAGTCTCACTGGGACAGTATGAGACTACTATCTAATGTTAAAACCATGTAATGAGATCAGTTGAATTGGTAATGAAACTATCAAAAAATCTGGTCCTGGTCTCAGACACGGTCACACGGTCAGTCTAATCTATGTTCTCAGCGGCCAGTCTATTCATGATATTTAAACAGTAAAGCATAAAGATCTGGTCTCAACTGCAGTTTTTATTAATATAAAAGATGCATTTAATCATGTTTCAAAGTCAAAGATAATTCAGACTTTGAAGATATTAAAACTGTCACTTTCTTTAATAAAATGAGTTAACTGTTTTATATTTAAAAGAATTATACAACTATTCTTTGATGAAATGAAATAAGACAAGACTGAGATAAAAATAGAAGTACTATAAGAATCTTTGTGACAGGCTGCGCCTGATCAATTATATAGACTATTCTGTTACACTTCACAGATTCCAACCGCTTCATTCTCAAACGCATATGCTCCGATTCTCAGCCATTCTCAATTGCCGATTCTCAGCCGCCATGAACATGTATGCTCCGATTGTCAGCCATTCTTGATCACCGATTCTTGGCCATCACATACATGTATAAATATTCACTTCAATCACTGATTCTTACACTTTCTCTTTTCATTTCTTCTCTAACATTTTTCTCTTTATTATATAAGATCTATCAATATCATACTGATCTATTCAGTGTAGATCTCTTATATTAGAAAAATGTTTATTATCTTCTTATTAGAAATGATTATTCACACATTGTCTTCTCATTAGAAATGATTATTCATTGAGAGATATCTGAACATGTAACAATGTGTAAGAAAGAGAAACAATCAGTTAAAGTAAACACTGAGTTCTCAGATAGAAGCTTACTCACCAGTCACTCTGACTCTATAACAAGATCTTATAAAGAGAGTAAGATCTTATAAGAGAATGTTAGTGAAAGATCTGAGAGTTCTGACACTCAGATATATAAGATATTCATATAATTACACTTCTTCAGATTTCACAGATATCACATATCTGATAAATAATATAATCATGTCTAATAATTAGACTGACCGTGTGACCGTGTCTGAGACCAGGATCAAACTTTACAGTTGTTATATTATCTAAAAGCATTACTTCTAGTCATAGTTTATATTCATCACATTGATCTCAAATTCTGTTATTTTAAATATTAAAGATTTCAGATTCACTTTTCAAATAAAAATCTAGTCTTAGATAAAGAATATGTTTAAATTCTTAGTCACATTTTCATTCTGATCTCATTATTGAAAATGGCACTAAATGAGACTATGAAATCATTTCTCACTTACATAATATCATAACATAGTGCTCATTTGTTAAAAATTCAATAAAAAGTGTTATTAAATATCATTACTTTTCTGAATACAGATTATAATTAATATCATTTTAATTAAAAAAAAATGTAAAATACAAAAAATAATAAAAAAACAAAAAATAAAACAATAAGAAAAAATCACAATAAAAAAAAAAGAGAAAGAAAAAAAGAAGAGAAAGAAAAAAAGAAACAGAAAGAGAAAGAAAAATAAAAAAAAAAGAAAAGAAAAAGAAAAAAATAAAAAAAAAATAAAAAAACAATCAAGATTACAGAGCTGCAGTACTTTTAAAATACTCACTCTTCAGAGTCTTTATAATATTTATTATTAACTGTATATCTCTCACAGTAAGAGTATCACAGTTATAATGAGTTATTATCTTAATATTATCTAATAAATAATCAGTATATATCTATATAAATGTGAATAATTAGAAAATATACACTTAAAAAGTGTGGCCAGGATGAACTCTGCCGTCACTTAAATGACAGAATACTGAAATCAATGATTCTTCTCATCAATTTCACAGATAAGATGTATAAAGATAATCTTGAGAAATATAAGATTCTCTGACTTCTAGTAGAAACAGATCTCACAGAGAGACTCTATTTTCATCATATCAGAGACTGAGTATTATTAAAAAGTATTACTTCAATACATATACACTTACTGCAGTAATTCACTCTCTGTACATGTGACTGAGAGTTGCAGCTTTCTCACACTGCATGACTCTCTCTGAAATGCTGCTGCTGATTTGTAACTCACACAGTCTCTCAGTTCAGTATGTGCTGTATATATACAGCTCTGTATGCTGAGGCTGTGTTGATCATTATAATCTGATATGATACTTACTTTTCACAGGCCATGTTTTATTTGATTGAAGAGAGAGAGGGACATGACTGCTGTTTTATTTAAGAGAGAGTGAATAATTGAATCTATAGAAGATAATTTAGTTTCTTCTGTATTTGAAATTTAATTAGTCTATACTCTTCAATTTGAGAATTTCTGAGAGTGTTTTAATAGTTTTCATATCAGCTTGAAATTAGTGATTAATTGAAGAAGAGAAAAGAGAGAAGAAAGAAATGAGAATAACTTATCTTTATAATATAAAAACAGAGAATTGTTGCAATCATTTATTCTAGTAATAAAGATCTGTTTTCTGCATGTATCTCTAATATAGATTATATGATAACTGTATACAAAGAATATCAACAGTACATGCATTGAATGAAGATAATATTGCTATATAACACTGTAGCTGTTTCTGTACATCACTGAAAGCTGTTAATATTTTCTTTGAGTCTCTTTATATTTGATAAGTCAGTAATATATTTCAATGCACTCTCTCTTTCATTATCATTATTATTATTATCATTATCATCATTACTATTATTATCATTATTATCATTATTATTATTATTATTATTATTATTATTATTATTATATCATTTCTGATCATCTCTTCTGCCTTTATCTCTCTTCAACACTCACTGAAATTAATTATATCATCTCTCTTCAAATATTCTGTGATTCTGCAGATTATCAAGACGCGTGAGCGTCATCACAGATTGAAGAGAGAGAAGAAGAAGGTATTCAAGTGAGAGAAGACAGATTGTAAGACATGTTATAATGTCTTGAAGAGACTCTGTAAGAGAGCAGAATGATAATAATTTTAAGTAATACTTCTGATAGATTTAGACTGAACTAAGTATAGAAATAATGCAGATAGCATCACTTATAAGAGATTGAAGAAGAGAATAGTGAAGAGTCTCATACAGTAGCAGTGAGACTAGAAGAAGTTCTGAGAATGATTTGAGATCAAGATGAAGAGAGAGAGAGAGAAGAAGAGTATTACTGTAAATAAGTAGTAGTAGAAGAAGATTAACAAGGTATTGAAGTAGAAGATAAAGAAGTCAAAACTGATAAGTTTTTTATTTATTGAGAGATAACAATTTTTGATAACACTTCTATTCTCTAATTAATTAGCAGGAGCTGATAGAGAAGAAGAGAATTAAGGCCTTATTCAGGTCTTAAATACACTCTATGATTCAGAATATTAAGAAGACAGCTCTGCTTAGACTGACTGCTGAGACTATGAATTTCACATTTAGTCTCATTTAATCTGATCTCATACATTTCTTGGCGTGAATCCCGCTGGGACTAATCATTAAATAAACATGTAAAGTGACTATATATCAGATCTCAAAATGAAACCATGACTTGAAAAAAATGAGAAAGTGATTTCATTTGATCTCATTTAGTCTCATTCTTAGCATAAAGTTACTATTTTTAGACATTTTAAGGTTTTTTTTAGACTATTTTTAATTTTTTAAAAAGTAACACTTTTTGGTAATGCTCAAATGAGATTTAAAGCCATTTAAATCAATAAAAATAATTTAAATTGAGAAGTGAAAATCATGATCTCATTTGAAAAATGTGATAAGAGTAGACAGTAAGTCTCACTGAAACAGTATGAAACTACTATCTAATGTTAGAACTGTGTAATGAAATCTGTTGAATTGATAATGAAACTATCAAAAATTCTGATCCTGATCTCAGACACGGTCACACGGTCAGTCTAGCTCTGCTCTCTGAGTATGTTAATCTGCTTATCACTGAAGTGAAACCTGAGACAGCAGATCAGAAAATGCGGGATTTTGAAGCACAGATTGATCTGACTGAAGAGAAGCAGCAGAAACTCTTCTCTGAGAAGACAGTGAAGAGAGATTTTGAGATGATTATCACCTCAGATGAGGAGAAGAAGAAGAAGAAGAATAAGAAGTGAATTATAAAGAATAATAAGAAGAATAAGAAAGAGAAGAAGTAGATTTTTTTCTTTTTATATTAGTTAGTTATAAGTTTAAGTTTTTAATTATTAATAATTAAAATTGATTTTGAGTTTTCAAAAATTATTATACAAGTTGTAATCAAGTCAGGAATGATATATATATATATATATATTTAACTATCATGATTCACAAATCACTATAATGTATAAGTATCAACATTTTTTCAATATTAATATTCATAATATTAATATATTTTTAATGATATCATCTGATAATATAATTTGATAACACTGTCTTTCACAATATTAATATATTTCAAGAAATATAACAGAGAATAATCAAGATTGTTTATTTACTTTTATATATCAATGATATTCAATCTGAGTTAGTACTAAAATTATAACTAAGCTAAGAAACAAGATTATTTTCTCTTATATTAATTCTTCTTATACACATCAGTGATCAGTTATTGAAAATAAATTATTATCTTTCTTAAATTATTATTATATCTTCTGAATTCACTTCTTTCACTTCTTTTACTTCTATTAAAGATTCATAAACTCTTTAAGAAATCACTGTAAATTACAAAGTCTACATTGTTTATAATTTAACACAGAATACTCTCTTTCAATCATGATGAATGATCACTTCATTCTTCACATCTGATTTCAGGTCATGAAATTTATGAAAAACTCAACATAAATATCAAGATAAACTATGAAATAATTATTAACAGATTGTATTGCAGATTACTGAAGAGCTATCTCTCTGCTACAATCACTGTAACTTTATTCAGAAACATTTATTATGAACTGATTATAACTCTGAAGAAATTTTCTGATATCTGAAGTTATCAGAATGTAGACAATAAAAAAAAATAATCAGAAAATTACTACTGAGCTGATAAGTTACTCTATCAGATAATGATTTTTGATAATACTAACTTTCTAATTTGAAGAAAATTATATGAAAATAATTATATATCAGTACTCGGATTTCATAACTCTCATCTGATAACTTCTGTGAATAATTACTTTGTATATATATATCTCTGAATCTTTCTCTTCAATTAATTTAAAACTCTGAATTTCAAACACTTCTTTAAATACTTAATTCAAATCTTTATATTTCACATCAATTCTGTCTTCAGTTCAATCTTGAAATATACTACAAAGTTAATATATAATATCTAGAATCAGAGTTGAAGAATCATCAAAGAGTGTCTCTCACAGTGAATGCATGAACTAGTATAAACAATCTTGCATTTATAAGAGTTATATGTTATTATATTGATGAGAACTGAACTTATCAAGAGACATTAATTGAATTTGAATTATTGATCAGTAGTCATACTGAGAATTATATGATAGAGATATTAATGACTGTGATTAAAAATGATTATTGAAATATTAGTCTCAGTCTTCTTATAATTACAACTGATAATGCTGTGAATAACTATACTATGATAAAGAGCTTAGAGTAAAAATTGAATTTGTATTTCTGAAATGATAAATAAGATTATATTCTCTGCATTGCTCTGAGACTGACCGTGTGACCGTGTCTGAGACCAGGACCAGAATTTTTGATAGTCTCATTGTCAATTCGACAGATCTCATTACACAGTTCTAACATTAGATAGTAGTCTCATACTGTTTCAGTGAGACTTACTGTCTACTCTTATCACATTTTTCAAATGAGACCATGATTTTCACTTCTCAATTTAAATTATTTTTATTGCTTTAAATGGCTTTAAATCTCATTTGAGTGTTACCAAAAAGTGTTACTTTTTAAAAAATTAAAAATAGTCTAAAAAAAACCTTAAAATGTCTAAAAATAGTAACTTTATGCCAAGAATGAGACTAAATGGGACCAAATGAGACCACTTTCTCATTTTTTTCAAGTCATGGTTTCATTTTGAGATCTGATATATAGTCACTTTGCATGTTTATTTAATGATTAGTCCCAGCGGGATTCACGCCAAGAAATGTATGAGATCAGACCAAATGAAACTAAACGTGAAATTTATGATCTCAGCGGCCAGTCTAATTACTCATATGATTCAACTTGTGATACAAACACTGATAAAGAATCTTAATATTGAGACAAAGAATAATGAGATGACTGATTCTTGAGATAAGAATGAGATGAAAGTGATTACTTAAGTAACTTTTACATTTACTTTACAAAAGATAATGTTTTTTAATAACACTTTTTAATATTACTTTTTAATAATACTTTTTGATAATACTACTGTTAATTTTAAATAGATTGACTAATAATTTAAATATCACAGATTCAAAATATTGCTAATATAATTTGTATCTCTTCTAAATAATAACAATGATTTCATGATATTTAATAAATAAATAAATCAGTCACATCACTGAATATGATACAGAATGTTAAAATATAATAAAGTTTAATATATAAGATAACTGTTCAGACTCCTCAATTGTATCAGATAATTAATCATTGAGTGTAATACTCTGATTGAGAAAAGATTCAGATATTGAAACTTTCTAATATGAAGTGAACTCAGTTGAAATATGTGATTGATTTACTATTTCAGTTTTATAAGATAATAAAGACAGTCTCAATCACTTATACATCAATACTGCAGTCAGTCTGATGAGTGTATAACAGTTTATTTACTCATCTTGAGAAGTAGTTGAATCACTCAAAAAGAAATTCAGTCTGAAATGATGCTATAGCACAGACTATTATTACTGTAAGAGATAAACTAGTATATTACTACAGTAAAACTGAACAATCTTTTACAGAGTACTATGCTATAGTAGCTCTACTAGATCTCTCTCATTGAGTTAATATCTACACTTCTCAAGATTGAACAGAGAAGAAATGAGACTTGTATATTAAATTAATCTGAGACTACTACAATGTCAACTATCAGAGATTTGAATGAGCAGATGTATGAAATATGAAGACAGTGAAATACAATTTCTTAATAAGTAACAATCTTTGATAACACTTCATATTTCATAGAACTATAATACTAACTTTGAAACAGAACTTACATATATTGATTGTAACTGAAAATCAGACAAAACTACATACTTATAAAACTGAATTTGACTGCTATCTTCAAGATGATCTGACAAATTTACATACTAAATCAATTCTAGAGTTATGAAAAATTGTTAAGAGTACATATCTAACTGTTGTACTGATGATATGTGATATTTTAACAATTTCATTAGCAGAGGTGAAAATGAAGTGAAAGTTCAACTCAAGTCAAGATATTTATCACTATCACTGAGAATAATTATAAGAAGAAATAATCAAGAAACTCATGATTGTAAAACATGAAATTATCAGACAGTTTAATATCTCTGATCACAGTATATCAGAGAAGTATAGTTTTCATGAGAAAGTGAAGAATAAACTTGTACAAGAATGTATTTAGTTGTTTCATGAGTATTATCAATAATTGTTATCAAATTCTGATTATATAAGTAATCACTGAATGAATTGAATGAGACTGATTTTAATCTTCAGTCTCAGTCTCATTCTGATTTTGAAAGAATGATTATCTTTTACAGTTTATTCTGAGAAATTACTCTTATTTCACTGTTCTTGAATTAAATCTGGTCATTTTTCACACCATTTCTCTCAGAAATGATTCATTTTCAGATTTTTTTGAGGCTTGGTTCTGGTGGGACTAGACTGACCGTGTGACCGTGTCTGGGACCAGGACCAGATTTTTTGATAGTCCCATTACCAATTCGACTGATCCCATTACACGGTTTTAACATTAGATAGTAGTCCCATACTGTTCCAGTGGGACTTACTGTCTACTCTTGTCACATTTTCCAAATAGGACCATGATTTCCACTTCTCAATTTAAATTATTTTTATTGCTTTAAATGACTTTAAATCTCATTTGAGCGTTACCAAAAAGCGTTACTTTTTAAAAAATTAAAAATAGTCTAAAAAAAACCTTAAAATGTCTAAAAATAGTAACTTTATGCCAAGAATGGGACTAAATGGGACCAAATGGGACCACTTTCTCATTTTTTTCAAGTCATGGTTCCATTCTAAGATCTGATATATAGTCACTTTACCTGTTTTTTTGATAGCCAGTCCCAGCGGGATTCACGCCAAGAAATGTATGGGACCAGACCAAATGGGACCAAACGTGAAATTCATGGTCCCGGCGGCCAGTCTAGGTGGGACTCACGTCAAGAAATGTATGAGACCAGATTAAATGAGATCAAATGTGAAATTCATGATCCCGCCGGCCAGTCTACTAATAATAATATAGAAGAACTCTTGAGTGTGAGTATAGATATAATATCACAGTGACTTTAAGCAATGTTAAAACTATAATAATAACACATAGCTGACATGCATGTCACTTAACAGCTTCAATATGAAGAAATTCAACAATTAACTCATGCAACTTCAGCATCTACAAAAGTGCTCAAAGAATGCTGAGATATCTCTATATATTTCAATGCTTCTGATCTCACTCTCTACTCATTATAAAGAATGAAAATGCTTATAAAACTGAGTGTAGATAAAGATGTCATCAGTTTATTAATTAATTAAGATTGATATATCAATGAATGATTGAAGAATCATGTGAAACAGAAGTTTCATTCATGAATAAAAGCATGTGAATCAGTATTGTAAACACTTGATAATATTATAAAACATCTTGATATTCTGTTCTGAGACACTGTCATGCAACAGAAGGCATTAGATTAATTATAGAGTGCTTAACAGAGAAATATTTCTCTTACAACATTCATCTCTGACTTTGATATCAAGATCTTAGAAGCAGATGATCAATCTTGAGAGAATTGAATGATGATTAGCATGCTTAAGAAGACATTAACTTTTGAACTCTTACAGACTCTTATAAGTGTAAATGAAGACTCAACTTATAAAGACTTCTGCACACAACTCTGAACATTGAATAACTGTCTTATCAAGCTCAAGAGTATACAGAACAGTGATAGAAGATGTTACATCT